AGTCAGTGCTGGGACTCCAGGATCATGACCTGAGCCAAAGGTAGTTGCCACCCAGGTGCCCCCAGTTAAGTTAAATGGTAGCTCACCGAAGCCATCAAGAAGTTTTTTCTAGGCTTTCCTTGTATGTCAGCTTTTTTTTCAGGTAGCTCACATCATGGTTGCAGAATGAGTGCAGCAATTTCATGTATCGCATCCAGATATGACAGCAGGCACAGAAAGAAGAGACAATCAGTCCCCTTTTGTGAATCTGTCTTAGGAAAGAGAATACCTTTCCCAGAAGTTCCCAGGAGAAGGAACTTACATCTTGTTGGACATAACTGTGTTATACACCCTAACCTAAATTAGTTCTTGGCAAGAGTAATGGAGCCATCATGACTGGCTTAGATCAGTTAGAAATTGCCCTCTAGGGCTGGTTTGGGGTCCTCCATAAAATAAATGTCAGTACCCAGGAAGGTGGATCCTTTTGAGAGGAGAAAACAGGTTTTTGTTAGAAAGGACAAAAGGCAGAGGAGAAAGAATATTAACCGGGCAACTAGAAGTATATACTGCATTAGATTGTTTAGTAAATGGTTTTAGAAGAATTGACTTTTTATTTGGTCTTTTACATGTCGATGAGGTTAAATTGGTTAAAAGAATTGTTCAGATATCCTTTTTTTAATCTTTTTTTTTTTTTTTTTGGTCTTCTTGTAATATCAGTTACTGAGAGAGGAGTGTAAATAACTTCAGCTATAACTGTGGCCTTGTGCATTTCTCTTTACAGCACTATCAGTTTCGTCTCATGTATTCTGATCTCTTTTATTAGGTGTATGCACATTTAGGATTGCTGCCTTTTTATTAGTGAAGTGTATTTGACTTGTTTCTTGATGAAATCACCCCCTTTTTATAAAGTGTTGCCTTTTTTCTCTGATGATATTTGTTGTTTTAATGTCTACCTTTCCTGATATTAATGTCGCCATGCAACTTTCTTATAAGTAGTGTTTGCATGATACATCTTTTTTCATCCTTTTACTTTTAACCCATCTGTCCTTTGTGTTTAAGATGTATCTCTTGGGGCGCCTGGCTGGCTCAGTCAGAGATGTGACTCTTGATCTTGGAGTTGTAAGGTTGAGCCCTACGCTGGGTTTAGAGGTTACTTAAAAATAAAATCTCTTTAAAATAAGTAAATAAATAAAATGTATCTTTTTTTTGGATGTATTTGGATGGTGGTCATGGATTTTTTTGGATGGATTTGGATGGTAGTCATGGATTTTTTAAATCCATGACCACCTCTGCCTTTTAATTGAATTACTGAGTCTGTTTATATTTAATGTAATTATCAATATGATTGAGTTCAAGTTCTTCTCTCTTGATAATTGTTTTTATTCATCCTTTCTGTTCTTTGTTTCCTTTTCCCTCTTTTCTCATCTTTTGGATTTATTGATTTTTTTTTAAATTTTTTATTTATTTAATAGAGATTACAAGTAGGCAGAGAGGCAGGCAGAGAGAGGGGGAAGCAGGTTCCCTGGTGAGCAGAGAGTCCGATGCGGGACTCGATCCCAGGATGCTGGGATCATGACCTGGGCTGAAGGCAGAGGCTTTAACCCACTGAGCCACCCAGGCGCCCGGATTTATTGATTTAAAAAAAAAAAGATTTCATTTTATCTCTTCCATTGGTTTCTTAGCTGTGTGTGTGTGTGTGTACTTTATAGATACTTTTTTTTTTTTAAGATTTTATTTATTTATTTGTCAGAAAGAAAGAGAGAGAAAGCACACAAGCAGGCAGAGAGGCAGGCAGAGGCGGAGAGAGAGGCAGGCTCCCTGCTGAGCAAGGAGCCCAATGCGGGACTCAATCCCAGGACCCTGGGATCATGACCTGAGCTGAAGGCAACGGCTTAACCCACTGAGCCACCCAGGTGTCCCTATAGATACTTTGTAAATAGTAGTAGAGTTGGGTCTCAACTGTCACATATGGACATTTTGGGCCGGATAATTCTTTACTATGAGGGGCTAACCTGTGTATTATGGGATGTTTTATAGCATTTCTGACCTCTGCCTACTAAATAGCAGTAGTTGTAGCCCGTCATGACAATGAAAAAGGTCTCCAGTGATCGCCACCTGTGGAAGTAGGAGGAGGCAAGATGCCCTTGGTTGAGAACTCAGCTCTAGAACTTACATTTTGCATTTTTAATTTGTAACAGTCTGTCTTGAAGTAATACGCCACTTCCCGTATTGTGTTAGAATCTTAGAATAGTACACTTCTATTTTGTCTCTCTCATCCTGTGCTATGGTTGTCCTGCATCTTATTTCTCTACATTACAAAACCCACATTGCATGGTTATTATTTTTGCTTTAGTTTTTCTGTTTTCTGTTAAAGATATAACAAAAAGGAGTAAAAAAGTCTTATATTTACCAAGCTCATTTTGTACTTTTCCTCCTCTAGCCGTGGGGTCAGCCATTTTTCCAAGGAACCCTGATTCCATTAGTGGAAAGTAATAATTAGCTAGAATCTGAGTACTAGATATGCTACTGCTATATTATGTGTGTGCATTTATATGTACACATATTTATATCTATATTTATTTCTATATATTGAAAACTGTGGGTTCATACTGATAAATCTAATTTCAATCAAACAGCTCTAGTTTTTTCCTTTCCCTTCTTTGATAGTGAAAAACCTGACTTCCATTGTCTTTCATATATTGACTTATTTTGTCAGTTCCCAGTATGCAACCAGTCTGTTGTTGCTGTTGCCCCCACCACCATGCAGTACCTCTCACTCCACTCAGGCTCTGACATCCTGTAGACTCCTGCATCACCCCACCTATTTCTGACACTCTCCCCACATCAGCCTTTTGCATGGATGCCAGTCTCATCCTTCTCAGCTCTAAGACCTATGACAGGCTGCCCTCCCACCCAGAAGGCCTTTTCATTTAATTTGGATTCTGATACTACCTTAGCCACCCCTTCCCGTGGACATTCTGCTAAAGCTTTGAGTCTGTTTGTTAGGTGGCTCACACTCACTTGCTTGGGCTCTAGCTATACATGTGTGCTGCCTCCTGAGCTTCCCCAGCATGGACACCCTCTGCATCCTCTCCTGATTCCCATGCTAGCCCCATTTCTGCAGTGAGCTCTGACATTTCATGCTAAGCTACTCTTCTCTTTAGTTGCCTAGTTGTTCATCTTGCTTTGCACCAGCTGATAGCTTTAGTGCTGAATTGTTTTGGAAACAAAGGGCAAAAGGAAGAGGACCTTTCACTTATTTAAAACAAAAATAGTCTTCATTACAGTTTATGGTAATAGATTTGTATAGTCATTTGATTATCTTCTCTTGTAACCTTTCCGAAGGTAAGGACTGTTTCATGAATACAATATGGCCCCAAGGAACCAGCATGAAGTATGTGCTCAGTAAATTTTTACTGAATGAACATTCTTAAATTAAGTACTTCAGTCAGGTCATACAGCTGTTAATGTGTTTATGTGCTGAAGGCACGATTTGGACATAGTTCTCTGATTCTAAAGTTATCCTGACTGCTATTACATCACATACTTACACTGTAAAAAACTATGGAGAACAGAGGGAGTGTCCCATGTACACAATTTATCTCAGTATAAGAGTTCATTATAGATTCAATATAAAGGTTAGAGCTTTTAAATAGTTTAGAAATAATATCATTCACTAATATAAAACTTTATATTCATTGAGTCATAAAATGTTGGTGCTGAATGGGGCTCCAGAGATAATCTTGTTCAGCACAACTAAGCAATATAACACAAACTTGTCAAATACTAGTATTTGGGGAGGGATGGGTTTGGGTGAGGTGGGAGAATGTGTAGGTAATGTGGATAAGCCCTCCAGGTGATTCTGATTACTCTCTTAGTCTCTTAAAATAGTTCTTAGTCTGTGATTTCACCTGATCCACACAGCAACCCTTAGAGACTTGCAGGGTAAGGAAAATTTAACAGATGCAGGAGCTGAGGCCCCAGGAATCAGAATGACTTCCCAAGGTTTCTTTTCCATCTTTATCATTCTCCGGAAACATTTTACATAGGAACATGATAGTATTTAACGTTTTTTCTATAATGCAATGTAATTGTCATAATGGGAGGTGTGGGAGAAGAAGGTGTGAAATAGCCCAAGAATTTGGCAATTAGGCTAATTAATTTATGAGTTTCATTTCATTTCAGCAACGCTCAAAAAGTTGATGAGTTATATTCCAGGTTGTTAGGAAGATTAAATCATTTACAGATAATCATCCTGTTGTGTAGTTGAAGAATTTTAAGAAAATTACTGAAGAACTATCTGGGAGAGGGAAGAATTTCTCTCAAACTCGTGCATCTTTAATGGATGTTACTGGTACTTCTTATCTATGCATGCTACTAATATTAGCATTGCACTGAGAAGCAATGTATTAATATGTCATCAGAATTGTTTTGCTATGGATATATTGAGTATACCTGCTTGTAATTTTTCACAGATTACTTAATGACCCAGTTAGAGATCTCAAGCAGTGACTTTAATTTGTAGATCATCAGAAATGAGATATAGGAAAACTCCTTTGCCATGCTGAGTAGTTCAAAAGATGAATGTTTCAGTGTGAAATATTTTCTCTGGCCTTGTTTAAATTGACTTGCTGGAACCTGAAAAGTAGTTTAAAAAATGTATCACAAATAAGATTCAAAACTTAGTTTGCTGTGTTCTTATATTATTCACACTAAGAACTTGTATTTTTCAAAAGAAAATTTATTGAAAGACATGTGAGTATTCTTCCTGTTATTTTCTCTCTTTTACTCTACTGTTCACTAAGGGAACATCAATTTTTTCAAGTGTGAGAGCAAGGACACCTTCCTTGCCAAGTTTGAGGACTGTGTATCAAATATGTAAAACACCACATATTATGTATGACACTTAACAGGTGCTTGATCATTGTTTTTATTGATTTACCTAGTCTTTATCAATTACTACAAGAAGTAGCTTTAAGTATGCTTTGCTATTAAATACTTTGCCCCCTACTCTTCTGCAGGTGTGTCTACATCAGCGATCAAAATGGCATCAACCAGGCTTCCTTCCCCCAAAAGTTTAGTGGGCGCCCCAACTCAGATTCTCGCACAGTTTCCTAAACAGCATCAACAATCTCCTAAGCAGCAGTTACATCAAGTGCAGCAGCAGACCCCGCAGCATGTGGCCCAGCCTGCGCCAGTATCTCATCAGCAGCAACCTCAGCAGTCTCCTTTGCCACCTGGTATCAAGCCAACTATTCAAATCAAACAGGAGTCAGGTAACTGGAAAATGTTTATAAGATATAATTCTTCCCCAGTCACTGCTTCTCTGAAGACTGTGAGTATATATGGATATACAGTTTCCTCAAGCACCAGAATTTAAATTCCAAAATATGTTTTGAGAGCCTCCTGTGGGAAATACTTATATAAAGAACTAGAGCTTGGGCATAGAAATGAGAAAAAAAAAGCAATTTGCTCAGCAGGAAGTTATTTTCAATGAACTCTCCAGGGAGGTAAGGAAGCTGAGGAAGCAAACCCAGATTTTAGAATTATATTCTGGATGCATTGGGGTTATAGAATGTAGGCAGTTGAAAAATTAGTCTGGAGTTTTGTGTTAGAATGCTGTATTATGAATTTGGCATAAAATGGTGTGAGCAGAAGCGCTAAGATTATAAGACACTGTGTACGATAAAGTTTGTGGAATAATAATTTGGGAGTTTATTGAAAGCATCTCTAGGACAGTGGGAACTCAGGAGTAGGAGTCAATTAGTTTAAGTTATTGAATCATAAAGTATTGAATAGAGGTGAACTGGGTGGCTCAGTTGTTAAGCATTTTGCCTTCAGCTCAGGTCATGATCTCAGGGTTCTGGGATCGAGCCCCGTGTCAGGCTCCTCGCTCAGCAGGAAGCCTGCTTCACCCTCTCCCACTCCCCCTGTTGGTGTTCCCTCTCTCACTGTGTCTCTCTCTCTCTGTCAAATAAATAAATAAAAATCTTTAAAAAAAAAGTATTGAATAGAAAAGCAGGTAGGATGGGGGTTCAAACACAGGGAAATTAGAAAGACTCTTAATATACTTTATATCTTTAAGAAATAGAAATGGCTTTTTTTCTTCCTCCAATGAATCTGGACTTTATTTGGTGGTAAAAGAAGTGTTTGAAGATGCCAACATTTTTAGTTTCGTTTGTTTTATTTTTTGATAGGAACATTTTGTTACTAGTTTTTGAGATGACTGACATATCTCAAACATTGTATTATAGGTGTACAACATAGTGATCTGTGTATATATTTCAAAATGATTACAGCAAGTTTAGTCAACATTCATTATTATACATAATCACATTTTTTTTCTTGTGATGAGAACTTTAAAGATTTATTCTCTAAGCGGGATGCCTGGGTGGCTCAGTTGGTTGAGCGGCTGCCTTCAGCTCAGGTCATGATCCCAGTGTCCTGGGATCGAGTCCCACATCGGGCTCCTTGCTCGATGGGGAGCCTGCTTCTCCCTCTGCCTCTGCCTGCCACTCTGCCTGTGTTCACTCTCTCTTGACAAATAAATAAATAAAATCTTTAAAAAAAAAAAAAAAGATTTATTCTCTAAGCAACTTTCAAATATAGTACAGTATTGTTAATTATAGCCACCATACTATAGGTTACCTGCTTAGGATTTATTTATCTTATAACTGGAAGTTTATACCTCCTGACCACCTTTACCTGTTTTGGCTAGCCCTCCATCCCCTGCCTCTGGCAACCACCAATATTCTTTGTATCTGTGAGTCTTTTTTCTGTTTGTTTTTTTAAGATTCTACATGTAAGTGAGATCGTTTAGTATGTGTCTTTCTCTGTCTTATTTCACTTAACATAATGCCCTCAAGGCCCATCCACCTTGTCGCAAATGGCAGGATTTCTTTCTTTTTTAGTTTTTATTTTAACTCATTAGTTAACATACAGTGTATTAGTTTCAAGCGTACAATATAGTGGTTCTACAATTCCATATATCACCCGGTGCTCATCACAAGTGCACTCCTTAATGTCTATCACCTATTTCACTCATTCCCCCACTCACCTCCCCTCTGGCAGCCATCAGTTCTCTGTAGTTAAGTCTGTTTCTTAGTTTCTTTCTCTCCCTCTGCTTCTGTCTCTTTCCTTTTGCTCATTTACTTTGTTTCTTAAATTCCACATTTCAGGGAAATCCTGCAGTATTTGTCTTTGTCCAACTGACTGACTTTGTTTAGCATTATGTTCTCTAGCTCCATTCGTGTTGTTGTAAATGGCCAGATTTCATTCTTCTTCTTTATGGCTGAATAATATTCCATCGCACACAAACACACGTATACACACACACATAATGTCTTCCTTCTCCATTCATCTGTCAATGGACACTTTGGCTGCTTCCATAGTTTAGCTATTGAAAATAATGCTGCAGTAAACACAGGGGTATATGTGTCCCTTCAAATTAGTGTTTTTGTTTTCTTTGGGTAAATACCCAATAATAACGATTGTAGGATCATAAGGTAGTTCTATTTTAACTTTTTGAGAAATCTCCAAACTGTCTTCCACAGTGGTTGCATCAGTTTGCATTCCCAACAAGAGTGCACAAGGGTTCCTTTTTCTTCACATCCTTGCCAACGCCTTTTGTTTGTTCTTTTTTTGATGTTAGCCATTTTGGTGGGTGTGAGGTGTTTTCTCATTGTAGTTTGGATTTGCATTTCCCTGAGGATAAGTGATGATAGCAGTTTTTCATGTGTCTTTTGGCCATCTGGATGTCTTTTTTGGAGAAATGTCTGTTTATGTCTTCTGTTCATTTTTTAATTGAATTATTTGTTTTTTAGGTGTTGAGTTTTATAAGCTCTTTATATATTTTGGCTATTAACCCTTCATCAGATGTCATTATATCTTCTCCCGCTCCATAGGTTTTAGTTTTGTTGATGTTTCCTTCACTGTCACTATACAGAAGCTTGCTATTTTGATGAAGTCCCCAAGTTATTTTTGCTTTTGTTTCCCTTGCCTTAGGAGACATATCTAGAAAAAAATTGCTACAGCCAATATTAGAGAAGTTACTACCTGTGTTCCCTTCTAGGATTTTTATGGTTTCAGGTCTCACATTTAGGTCTGTAAGCCATTTTAATTTATTTTTGTGTATGGTGTAAGAATGTGGTCCAGTTTCTTTTTCTTTCTTTCATATTTTTTTTTTAAAGATTTTATTTCTTTATTTGAGATAGAGAGCGGGAGAGAGAGAGAGAAAGCAAGCACCAGTGGGGGAACAGAGGGAGAAGCAGGCTCCCACTGAGCAGGGAGCCTGATGTAGGGGTGAATCCCAGGACCCAAAATCATGACCTGAGCCCAAGGCAAACACTTAACCGACTGAGCCACCCAGGTGCCCCAAAAGTGGTCCAGTTTCATTCTTTTGTGTGTTGCTGCCCAGTTTTCCCGATACCATTTGTTCAAGATACTGTCCTTTTCCCATTGGATGGTCTTTCCTGCTTTGTCAAAGATTGATTGACCATATGTTTATGGGTTTATTTCTGGGTTTTCTGTTCTGTTCCAGTGATCTTTGTGTCTGTTTTTTTTTTGTTCTTGTTGTTGTTTTTAAATATTTTATTTATTTATTGACAGAGATCACAAGTAGGCAGAGAGGCAGGCAGAGAGAGAGGGGAAGCGGGCTCTGCTGAGCAGAGAGCCCGATGGGGGCTCGATCCCAGGACCCTGAGATCATGACCTGAGCTGAAGGCAGAGGCTTAACCCATGAGCCACCCAGGCGCCCCTGTTTGTCTGTTTCTGTGCTAGTACCACACTGCTTTGATGACTACAGCTTTGTAATATAACTTGAAATCTGGAATTGTGATGCCTCCAGCTTTACTTTTCTTTTCCGAGATTGCTCTGGCTATTTGGGGATTTTGGGGTTCCATACAAATTTTAGGATTGTTCTAACTCTGTGAAAAATGCTGGTGGTATTTTGATAGGGATTGCATTAAATGTGTTGCTTTAGGTAGTATAGACATTTTAACAGTATTTGGGCTCTCAGTCCATGAACATGGAAATGTCTTTCCATTTCTTTGTGTCATCTTCAATTTCTTTCATCAGTGTTTTACATTTTCAGTGTATAACTCTTTTGCCTCTTTGGTTAGTTTAATTGGTAGGTATTTTATTGTTTTTGGTGCAGTTACAAATGGGATTGTTTCTTACTTTCTTTTTTGCAGCTTCATTATTGGCATATAGGAATGCTGCAGATTTCCGTACATTGATTTTGTATCCTGTGTATTTTCTAACTTCATGTATTAGTTCTAGCAGGGTTTTTTTTGGAGTCTCTTAGGTTTTCTATACACTGTCATGTCATCTGCAAATAGTGAAAGTTTGACTTCTTCCCTACCAATTTAGACGCCTTTTCTTTTGTTGTCTGATTGCTGTGGCTAGGACTTCCAGTTCTGTTGAATAAAAGTGGTGAATGGGATTGACTCCTTAATTTCTCTTTCTTCTGTCTTGTTGTTGGTGTAGAGAAATGCAACTGATTTCTGTGCATTGATTTTATATCCTGACACTTTACTGAATTCTTGTACAAGTTCTAGCAGTTTTGGAGTGGAATCTTTTGGGTTTTCCACATATAGTATCATATCATCTGCGTAGAGAAATTACAAAAAAAAAAAAAGTGGTGAGAGTAGACAACATTGTCTTGTTCCTGACCTTAGGGGGAAAGCTCTCAGTTTTTCCCCATTGAGTATGATTTTTGCTGTGGGTTTTTCATAGATTGTCTTTATAATGTTGAACTTCCCTCTAAACCTACTTTGTTCAAGGCTTTTACCATGAATGGACGTTATACTTTGTCAAATGCTCTTTCTTTGTCTACCGAAATGATTATATGGTTCTTATCCTTTCCTTTATTGATGTGATGTATCATGTTGATTGATTTGTGAATATTGAATCACCCTTGCAAACCAAGGATAAATCCCACTTGATGGTGGTGAATGATTTTTTTAAATGTATTGTTGGATTTAGTTTGCTAGTATTTTGTTGAGGATTTTTGTGTCTATGTTCATCAGAAATATTGGCCTATAGTTCTTTTTTTTTTTTTCTCCTGGTGTCTTTTTCTGGTTTTGGTGTCAAGGTGATGCTTGTCTTATTCCAAAAATTAATTTTTAATTATCTCTTTTGAACAGCAGGAGTAGGAGATACTAAAAAATTTCTAGTGAGCAAGATGTAGTTAATCACACAAAATCTAGTATAGCTAATAAAAGCTGTATGATATTATATACTTATTATGTTGTCTGGATTTACTTTTACTCTATTT